TGTTACTTATTCTTTCTTTTCCTCTTTTGTGGGGGTTCCCCATAACTTATGAATCACTTTTATTTTGAAATACCATGATTTGTCAAATTAGGACTTGATCCATGAGAAAAGGTGCCAAAGCCATAGTCAATGCACTGTATCAACACTTCTGTGCCTGAAGTCATGAAATTCCAAGAAGTATAAACATTTGATTGTGTCATCAAAAATCCATTTTCCATTTTAAGTACTGCTTTAAAATATGTGCTTAAACACATTGAAAGAAGGGCAACAAAGCTGGTGAAGGGTCTAGAGCACAAATCTTATGACAAGCAGCTGAGGGAGCTGGGGTTGCTTAGTCTGGAGAAGAGGAGGCTGAGGGGAGACCTTATGGTTCTCTACAACTACCTGACTGGAGGTTGTAGCGAGGTGGGGATCGGTCTCTTCTCCCAAGTAACTAGCAATTGGAACAGACTGCCTAGAGAGGTGGTTGGGTCCCCATCCATGGAGGTACTTAAAAGACGGGTAGACATGGTGCTTAGGGATATGGTTTAGTGGTAGACTTTGCAGTGTTAGGTTAAGGGTTGGACTCAGTGATCTTAAGGGTCTTTTCCAACCTTAATTATTCTACAGTTTTACAATCATGTCATTTGCTAGAAGGCTGAGTCTTTCTATATGGCCATTGATCAAATGACTTCTTAAATAATCAAACATAAAAAAAAATAATATATCAGAATATTTCAGTAAGTTGCTTTTGCTTTTCTTAACATTTGTCAAAGCAAATGAACCAATTTTGAGTACTGCAACTGCTGAAAATGTTTTGTCTGAAAGCCTAGTACTTAGTACAATGTAGCATATTGTACCAGTTAAATAACTTCTATCGTCTTAAGAGAGTTTTCACTAGTATACAAAATACATTTTATCAAATTTTTCTGCACATAAGAATTACCAACACCCGAGTCAAAATTATGTAAATTCAATACCTTGACAACAGTTTTGCAATTTTTAATCTTAACATAACACATGCATACCCTTATTTGTTGACAATATCTTATACTGAGAATAAGTTTGATTAGAGTACATTTAAATAAAGCACTTAATGTGGCTTAAATGTATATTAGTAATAAAATAAAGCTTTGAAAAATGGATTTTGTCAATATCCATGCAACTACCACTTTGTATTTAGCATTTCATTTTTAAAGAAGTAATAACTTTTTGTACTAAAGACATAATCTCTTTATGCTTTCACAGCTTCTATTCTCCGGGAAACTTCTAAATTAAATTGAGGTGTTGGGGGTGGGAAGAAAAAGTCCCCAAATCCTTCATTATTTTAATTTATTTTTATATTTTAAGTACTATTTCACTATTTTTGTCACAACTTCACCAAGTTTCTTCTCCCACACAAAACCAGACACTGACTATGTAACACCTGTCATTCTGTAACACTTGTATCTCTCTCAGAATGGCTGTCATTCACCTACTTTTTATTGTATCTTGATTTGTTCAGTTGATTAGATGAACATTCGTGTTACATTTTTTTTCTGTGATGAAATTCAAAACCACTCATTATTGTATTATTATATTATACAGGGTACAAAAAATCAATATTATGACTTAATGTTAGCGATGCAGTTCTGAATAATGTTATACTTTAGGGAAGTGTGACAGTTCCACAGAAAATATACAGATTGACCTCTAGGGAAAGTACTATATTAAATTCTGAAATTATTCTGGGAAATTTTTTTGGTGTAACTGTTAAAGATCAATAATGTATGTTTTCAAATCATAAAATCATAGTATAACATACTAATATATACCCATGATAATTATATTATTGCATCCACTGCTAAATTTTTGACACCACATTGGACACTTATAAAAATTGGGTCTTGGTGAAACAGCTTTTAGTAGGCAGAAAACAACCATCTCGTCAAGTTAAGTGTTAACTAAAAAACCACATATTTTTTTAGATATTTTTTTTTGCTGTAACTATAGATACAAACATAGATTTTGCACTTTTTCACTTAAGGACTTTGATTGAGGCAGAACCAAAGATAGGACTGCTCTAAGAATATGATGCTTATTTTCTGAAGAAGCTGATGTTACAGAAAAGCCTGTTGTTATAAAAGTCTAGTTTATTTGCCATGTTCAGCAATGAAGTTACATAAGAAAAATTTTGGATAGTTATTTGAATTGTATCTGTATATTCAGGCTATAAGAAATAAAATATAGTCAAAGCAACTAATTAACTGGTAATATAATGAAAAATGTATTTTGTTTGGTATAATAAAGAAATTGTAATTTCTTCAACCTAGCAATTATAAGTTTTGTAATAATGATAATGGCTGTTTCATGAATAAATGTCTATGCAGCATGTCAAATTTTCTGAATCATCCCATTATGTGGTTTTAATAAAACTTCTTCACTGTTCCTAAGCATCTAGTGCTACATTATACTGTAAACATTTTAATTGAAACAATGCAATACACTGAAAATAAGAAAATTCCTACTCCACATAAATATTTAATACTTGAACAAGAAAGAATAACTATTTGTTATGTGTCAAAATTGGCTCCAGTCTTTGTACTGTGCTCCACAAGCTTAAGTAGTTTCACAATTTTTCATTTGTTCAATCGATTTTCTTTGAACTCTTGCAAGGAAACCATATTTTATTTCCATTAGTAAACCCTAACTTTTTAACATCTTTCTCCATTGCCAAATTGTGAGCTAATGTAAATGAGTTTTTCCACTAAATGTTAACTGCTGACCATATTCTTCACAATGTTTTGTCAATGCAACTACTGAATCCAGTGCAGTAGATACCACCAGATGGGGACCTGGCTTACATTGTATGTATGAAAGATTCTGCATTTTGTATAGTGTGGTTATTTTGATTTATTTAAATTCACAGATAAGCTTTGAAATTAAAAATATGGTATTTTACGTCAGTGTAATAAGGCCACAGCATCTCACATTTTTTTACCTGAAATTATGTATATACATTTTAATTAAGATTGGTATTTCCAGTTGTGATGTTTTAAACACTTAAGTTGAGTTTCATTTACTGCACAATACTGCTCAAGTATAAACATTTTTTCCTCAATATGCTTTAAACTTTATGACATTGCTTTTTTTATTTAACATCAGTCCTCAACCCTTTCTATTTGAAGTTCAATTCCCTTAAGGAAAAAGACCAATTTCTGTTTTCTTGGTGAATTGCTTAGGGTCATAGATTTCTGTGTAAGAATTTATTTTTTATGGTACAATTTGTTATGTCAGCAACAAGGTAGTATTACTTTCCCTTTGATTTTATTACAGTTTTCATGTAGATTTGAGACATGTTACAGACTTGCAGAATATGGTGAGAAGAAGGATTGAGGAAATGAAGCATTCAGTAAGATTTGCTTACCTGTGAACCATTTTTGTTCATGGTAGATGCAGTGTAGTGGTAACTATAATTGCATAAGGTCCATTCTACACCAACAAATTCCACAGGGAAAGTTCTGAATTGTAGAATTGTTTATAGAGGAGAAATATACTTGTGTTGTGATATCTTAAACTATTGCCCTGACTGCCTTATGATAATTAGTATTGTACCTATTAGCCATATTCTAAAAAAAAAAAAAAGGAAAAATTCAGCATGTGATAAAAAGGCAAGTAAATCTATGGAGGTAATTATTGCATCTATAGAGATAATTATTGCAAATAACTTTCATGTGCAAAAAAATTATTTATTCTTATTGTTTGGAGTGATAAAACATTTTGGGTTTTGAGGAACAGGAAGATTAGATGCTGATTATACGCTATGTTTAAGGGTCAATTACTTTTAAATCATTTAAGTTACATACAGTACTACTTAGATATTCACTGGCTGAAAAACATAACATAATCTTACTTTTAGATGAAGTACGTTTAGATGAGATAGGGGAAAAATTTGGGAACAGTCCAAGACTTGAAGGCTATAGAGCATCAAATGGCAATGGTCCAGTCTTGGTATTATTTGCACATCTACTTCTAAATTTTATAGGCTTCAAACACCCCTAGTCTGTATCAAGTTTTTGACACTTAAATAACCTTTTACTGGGTCTTATCACTGTTAGGTTAATTCTAATTTGTATTCACTTACAAGTGTGACCATAACCTACTCATTAAACAGTCTATTCACTTGTTTGATTTATAAGCAGATGTATTTTATGATTCTAAATTGGAGAAGCTAGGAAGAGTGTAATTCTTTCCTGAGACTTTGTGTGTCCACTGAAGTTTACACTGGAGGGAATTCCCCTGAGGGACTGTTCTGGGACTGTAGAAATACTACATTTTTTTGCTGTATAGGATACCATTTGCTGCCTGTTCTGGGAGCAAGTATAGGATCTGCAGGTGTGGCGGTTGAGCTGTAGGATCTGCAGCTGTGGAGACTTTGTTTTGGGACCAATGAGAAAAGCAATAAATGGGATCACTCTGATTGTGCTTGTGTAGGAACATGGGGTCTCTGCTTTCTCTGTAACATGCCTTCAATGCCACAAATGATGCCCTGTGTGAGGAGTGAAAGCTCAACTTCCAAGAGTCTGCTTGATGGTCCATGCTTTTATTGCCACAAATGGTGCCCCCTGTGGGGTATGAAAATTCAACTTCTGAAGGTCTGTCTGGTGGCAAGCCCCACAGAACTTAATGCTGCTGAAAGGAAGCAGAAGCTGGCTTCAATTGTCTCTGGAGATGAGGTAAGCTGTGGGGAATGTTGGGCAGCTATATGTCTGCAGATGACCTGGATTTATGGAGGGACCTTTGCAGAAGTACAATATTGCTATAATTTGAATGGATGCTTGCTTGTTTTTCCCAGATGTCTCCAAGTTGGCTAATGCCCTGACAGACCCAAAAGGACTTTTCTTTATTTGCAGGGCTCGAGCTGGTGACATCTCCCTTCCCCTTCCCTCAGTCCCACTCAGCAGCTGCTGTGGCAGCAGCAGCAGGTGGCTGGGTAGCGGTGCTGCTGCCTCTTCCTCTTCATTCCTCCTGCCCTCCAGGGCATGATGCAGTTTATGTTGCTCTTTAGTCATCATGGGAAACTGAGATTCCAGAAGTGGTATGTCCCATTATCTGACAAAGAAAAGAAGAAAATCACAAGGGAACTTGTTCAAACAGTATTAGCCCGCAAACCGAAAATGTGCAGCTTCTTGGAATGGAGAGACCTGAAGATTGTCTATAAAAGATACGTAAGCCTCTATTTCTGCTGTGCTATTGAAGATCAGGACAATGAACTAATAACTCTGGAAATAATTCATTGCTATGTAGAACTTCTTGACAAGTATTTTGGCAGTATGTGTAAATTTGATATCATCTTCAATTTTGAAAAAGCTTATTTCATTCTGGATGAGTTCCTTTTAGGAGGGGAAGTCCAGGAGACTTCCAAGAAAAATGTTCTCAAAGCCATTGAACAGGCAGATCTTTTACAGGAGGAAGCAGAGACCCCACATGGTGTACTTGAAGAAATTGGATTGACATAGATCTTCATTTTAGCTGATGACATCTCAGTGTTTCATACTGTAAATGTTTACTGTTTTCATTGTAATGTTTAGCTAATGGTGTAAGATGCTGTTTGTCATTATTACTGTTTTGCTAAGCTGCTTCATTCAGGCCTATAAGCAAAATGTTCCTTTGAAAAGGGAACAAGAAAGTAAAAGTTCAAAAAACACAAATGAAGGGGAATTAGATTTAATTAGACTCGATGTCTCCCTTCACTGCATTTAAAAATTCCATTTGACTTCAGTAAGTGTACTGTTTTTCATAAGCAAATCAAGAACTTGTGTCTTTTTTCTTAGTAAAGAAGGGGGAGCTGTTGTGGGAATAAGTCCAGAAAATGGTAGCACTTTGGAAACTTGAAAAATGTGTGTTTGACATCCACTGGTTCCGAAAATTTTTAAGTTCAGATTTTGTACAGAAAACAATCAGAATTATGATATTATCAAAACATATTCTTTAACTGTTTATATAGTGGTTCCTAAACCATGGAGTGCTTGTGTAAAACAGCAAATGTAAAAACAAAACATTTTTTATATTTATCCCCCTATTTTCTGTTGATCAGTACAGCAGTTAGGAAGCCATATTACTTTACTGCCAGTTATAATTATAAGCTATTTTCTGTTTCTTTGTTCTTAGTAAAGAAGGGGGAGTTGTTGTGGGAGTGAGGACAGGATCTGCAGGTGTGGTAGCTGAACTGTAGGATCTGCAGCTGTGGAGACTTTGTTTTGGGACCAAGGAGAAAAGGGATAAATAGCAACAGGATCACTCTGATTGCGCCTGCCCAGGAACATGGGGTCTGTGTGTTCTCTGCAACATGCCTTCAATGCCCCAGCTGCCTACAACCATTTTGCTGTACCTCACCTAATCAGTTCTCTGCCACTGCAGGACTGTTAGGCATCATGACATACTGGTCTCTTGTCATGGTTTAATGTGTCAGGCAGCTGAAAACCACGCACCCACTCGCTCATTTCCCTCCTTCCTCAGTGGGATGGGGGAGAGAATTAGGGAAAAAAAAAAAAAAGTAAAATCTGTTTAATAAAGCAGCAGAGGAAAAGAATAACAATAATAGTAATAAAATATACAAAATATAGAAAACAAATGATGCACAATGCAATTGCAGACCTGCTGACCAATGCCCAGCCCATGCTGAGTAGTAATCACTCTCCCCCCAGCTAAGGCCTCCTGAACATGACATCACATAGTATGGAATAGCCTTTTGGTCAGTTTGGGTCAGCTGTGCCCCCTCCCAGCTTCTTGTGCACCTGGCAGAGCAGGGGAAGCTCAAAAAGTCATTGACTGGTGTAAGCCCTACGCAGCAACAACTAAAACATCAGTGTCTTATCAACATTCTTCTAGTACTACATCTAAAGCACAGCACTATGCCAGCTACTAGGAAGAAAACTAACTCTGTCCTAGCCAAAACCAGATCTCTTCTTACCTGAGACACAGAGAACAGTTTCTAGGCTATCAAAATATTTTAGACCAGCTAAAAGTCTCATTTATGAAACTTAATTGACCAACATATATATGAAGAAAAATTGAACACTTTTTTTTTGTCTGTTCTGGCCTTGAATTCCTTGAACTCTCTAATATCGGACAATCTGACCAATGGAATAAGCTAGAAAGTTATCAAACAAGGCTATGATCAGTTATATCTGTGTCCTGGAGTTCTTCTGTTAGGGAGGTTCAGAGATACCACAGCGTGCAGATGATTTATTTATGAGTTCTTTTAATCTAAAATGCACATGATTTGCACTTCATTTATGTCTGTTGTAGTTGGCATATATCTGGAAATATTCACGCATAAGAATGGGTAATTCCAAAATCAGTCAGGGAGATCAGAAAGCATAAAATATTGTGGCTTTACCAAATGTTGAAGCTTTGGATTCTTATTTACATTTTACATTAAAAAAAAAAAAAATCTTAGTACATGTTAGACAGACACAGATGTCATGAAAATATACACTTAGAAAATTATCTCTAGAAAAATATTTAATGTCATCACTTCACTGTGTAGAGTAATTGTTAGAGGATTTAGAATCTTTAATCTACTTTTCACTGAGGGAAATGGCTTAGAAAAGTAGCTCAAATGCTTGGTGGATTGAGATCCAGACATCTGTTGAATGATCTGTAGTTTAGAATACATACTGTATATGCTTCATTCTAAAATAATAATTACCTCTGGGTTCAATTACTCATTTCTTTTTTTATTCTTTTTTATGCCTAATAGTGCAGAGTCAGCAGTTCAGCTTTATGCAGAGCTTCATGTTTTAATGAAAGTTGCATCTGCATAAAAGATATTTGTTTCTATGTGTTAGTTCAAATTCTGGTATGAACTTTAAAAGGCTTTTTTATTTCACTGCAGCTAATGACATTCCAGGGACCACTGTTTCGCTTGGCACAAATATCATGCTGGCCTCCTTAGTTCATCGTTTTGAGTCACAGCAAATGCTAGTGGTGAATATGGTATTATAAAGGTGTCATGGAGGTAAAATGTTGCAGGAGGAGGAAATTTTGTCTGTGTATGTGTGTTATATTTTTATAGGAGATTAACAAAACCTGTGGTATTAGGGGATGAAAATGTGGAACATTGAAAAGGGATTGAAACCCAGGTAATTCTTATCTCCAAGCCAGGCCTGAGATGGAGCCAAAACTCCCTTTACCAGGGATTATGGAAATTGAACCAGTTTAACAGTCCTGTATGCCTCTATCATTACCAAGCCTTCAAAATTCTTCCTATGAAAAGTTTTTACTGAATAAGGACAGGTATATGTCAAGGAAATCTGGTTTAAGAGTTACTTCACAGTCCCCTGGCAGCAATAACTAACTCAAACTAATCCAAGACATAAATAACAATTTTCTTTAAAATGTAGAGTCCAGTGAACTTTTATTGAACAGTAGTTCTAAAACAAACAAAAATTAATACAAATATTTACTGCTATTAATGGAAAGTAAAAATGTAAGAATCTTTTCTTCACTAGAACTTAGAAGCTCTAGATAGTTTCAGTAATGACAGTTATCACATTCTGACACTGACACATGAGGACACTGTTTTTCTTACCTTATTAGTTATTTTCCTTAGAAATGGTTCTTCCCTCTTCAGTTTTAGTTTCTAGACAGACTTGTCTATATTTTGTATATGTTCTTTAATAAATTCCTCTGAATGGGATATGAGACACGGATCAATGAAAACATAAAAACAGCAATAAAGTTATGCAGTGGTTTACCAGTGAAGGAGAAAGGTCAAAAGAAATAAAAATATAGGTCCCTAAAATGGACCTAGATCTAAAATTCAAAGGGTTCCTAAATAAATTAAATATTCACTAATTCGAAGGTAAAGGAGGTATGTCTGTATCTTATTAGTTAGAGAACAACTGAAGCTTGTTAGATTATGTAAATATCCTACTGTTTTGAATTGACAGCCAGATACTCCCCAATCTACAGTAGTATTTGAACTATGAGGACGTGAAGGTTGATATCTTAATAGGAAGACATTGTGTCTTAACAAATACAGAGCACACTTCAGATGGGAGAACCAGTGTGGTGGTATTTCAGAGGAAAAAGAAAAGAAAAAAAAAAAGAGAGAGCATCAAATTTCCTCTATGATTCAGAATTGTTGACTGATGAACAAAAAAAGCAGGACTAAAACCTTATAATGTTTCTGTTCACTTTGGAAAGACTTTCACCTCTAACTGTGCTACTGTTTCATAATCCTGAGGGAGTGAAAAGCTTTTGATGAATCTGATTCCCAAATAGGGAAATATTTCTGTGGTGAGTCTCCAAATTTTTCTCTCATGCAGGGCAGGGCAAGACCTTGCTTCAACATGTTTTATCAATAATAAAGCAGGGAATTTACAAAGTTTGTATGACCTAGACAAGAAAGAAAGAAAGAAGGAGAAGAAACAAGGATACAATACCCGTATTAAAATGAGTTATGCTGCCTAAGTACTGCACATTTTTATGTAGAAAACTAACCGCGGAGACTGGGGGTTTATGGAAGTGAAATATGGGTATTTGAAAAACTGGGGAGATACATTGCTTAGTTCTGGCAGTCACCTGGAAAATTCCTTCTCTTTGGAACAGAAGGTGCATACAACTTTAATGAGAAGTGCTTTATAAGGGGTATTACTGTATACAAATTTGGTTTCTAGGTGATAAACACCTTAGTGAGATTAGCTGGAAGCTGAGCAAATGAGAATTAATGTTGGACACTGCTGTTGGTAACAGATTTCTGTTTTTTTTAATGGATGTAATGAATTTACAAGCTTCACATTTACGTGACAAACATACAAACACTCTCCTCCTCTCCAAAAACCTCAAAATAAATACTCAGGTTAAAACATTTTGTAAAGTTATTGTACATGTTCAAAACATTTGTGTTTATGCAAATTGATAAACATAGAAAATTTTCTTCCAATGCTCAACTTTTTCACACAGAAAATCCAAACAAAATCAAATCACTGTTTTTAAAAAGTTAAAAAACCCTACATGGAGCAGTCTTTCAAAAGAAATGCTAGAGGGTCATTTTAATAAGGAGTGCAAAGCAGTAAGCTATCAGTATGGTAATTAAAATCAATGAGTGTCCATAACCATGCTTGAAGATGTGAAGAAGGTTAAAACTAATTAAAAATATCACAAAAGGTCTTTCTTTAATGATTGGAGAGATGTCTTGGTGGATAACACTTTGCAACCTGATATCAAGGGAAAACAGGTTCAAAGGAATACAAGTCTGTTATAAAAAGTGTAATTTTTATGCCCAGAGAGAATGGAAACATTAGACTGTTCAGATATAGTTTTATGTAGCAAGCATTCAAATATCATCAGTTCTCTAAGCTTCTGAACCTATTTCTGTTAAAATGAATTAGAATGTTTCTATTTGACATAGAAGGCTGGGATCAGGCTCTACTTTTCCTGTTGCAGCAGGTGATGCAATTATAAAAGCCAATTCAGATATTAGTTTTCTGGATTGAAAATTGTGTTTTGGGACCAGAGAACTATTTGAGAGGCCCTTATCTGCAACCCATATAGGTTTGTCTAAGAGATTAAGGGCTTTTGGCCTTCTGTGTTTATGCTTTCTGACATACAGAAAGGAAGAGTATTATATACTGCATGGTGTGTTCATCATCACTGTAGAGAACACCTGGACATGATTACACTTAATAAATAGTCAGAAATTTAAAAATATCTCACCCAGGCCTTCTATTGCTAGATTTAGTGTAAGGATTATTGTTTGGGTTAAAAAACAATAACAACAAAGTTATCCATAACAGTAAGAAGTTAAATCTGGTGGATTAAAGTTTAAAACTATTCTTAATCCCATTGATTAAAGAGTAAAGTTTACTCCTTTCTATAACCATTTATGTCAGAAACTATCTTGAAATC